AACAACAGTCTCTCCTATGTCTAAACTGCAGTGTGAACAACAGTCTCCAGAAAAACACTTGAGACACTGCAGTTACTTAAAAGTTCAAACTTCTCTTTTCACATCCAGCCCCAGCATCTCTTACTCTCCCGCACACTGGCTTGAGTATTTTTCAACTCTTATATCACAGCATTCACCACTGTCCGTTCACACTGGCTAGTGTCACTCTGCAGAACACTTACCCAGCTGCCCCCTTCTTAACTTCACTCAAATGTTACTTAGGTCGTTTTTCTGAAACTGCACCCTGTGCCCTTTAGCACATCTCTGTTTTGTTGATGTTCTCCTTACCATCTTGTCTTTCACCATACCATAGTTTTTCTTACTTTGTTTACTGTTTGTGCCCTTCACCATCAACAAGGTACATATCACTAGTGATATGTTCATTTTATTAATTGCTCTTATGCAAGATACAGAATATTGTGCCTGGAGTAAGGCAGCACTCAACAAATAGTGAATTGGTGAGTGAATGATGTAGTTAAATCTTGCCGTTTATGCTTGTGGTCAAGTCTTAGCTTTCTTCTGGTCTGGTTTTCCTCAATCTTAATTGCCCAAGATACTCTCAGTTATCTCTCGGATAATAAATTCTTCAATTGCCATCTTCAGTGAATCTTCAGTGTCCCTGAGTTTGTTAATAATTCTGTTTTCCTGGTAAAGTCATTGTATACTACTTAAGTTTGTACACAATCTAACTCGATCCTTCTTATTCATTTGATTAATTATGGTCAGCAGAAAGGCAAGGAACACACTAGGCATGATACCTATGATTAGGCAAATAAGTTAAAAGTAAGGAAAACAAAAAATATTTTAATAGTCTTGTACCTAGAGTTACTTCATACTTACACTGAATTCATACTAGAAACCTATGGATACTTTCAAGATGGCTCAGGTGTCCACAGAGTGCAAGAATAATTACCTCTAACTCTCAAACAGCATCAGGTCCAGTGGCCCAGAAACCTAAGAATCAATAGATATCAGCAGCATAGCAGGTGATATCACACTATAGGAACAATTACTTTCAGTGTGGATGCAGCAACACTGTTTAGTCTTCACATGCTACATGGACCATCACAGGAAAGAGAAGTCTTCTAATGCCAATAAACAGTCAGGGATGCAATGGAGGAGTTAGAGAAAGGACTGAAGGAGCTGAAGGGGTTTGCAACCCCATAGGAAGAACAACAATATCAACCAACCAGACACCCCCCCCACAGAGGTCACAGGGACTACCACCAACCAAAGAGTACACATGGAGCAACCCATGGCTCCAGCCACATATGTAGCAGAGGATGGCCTTGTCGGACATCAATGGGAGGAGAGGCCCTTGGTCCTGTGAAGGCTTGATTTCCCAGTGTATGGGAATGCCAAGACAGTGAGGTGGGTGGGGACCATCCTCACAAAAGCAGGGGGAAGGGAATGGGATAGGAGCATTCCAGAGGGAAAACCAGGAAAGGGGCTATAACATTTGAAATGTAAATACAGGGACTTCTGGTCTGGGGCCGAGCATAGAGCAGGTCACAGGGTGCAGCTCTGTACCCAACCCCAGAAAACCGAGAGAAAGAGGGACTCCCAGGAACTTGAACTCAGGTAGCATCCCAGGTAAGGAAAAAGCAGCACTTGCCCCCAAACAGGGAGCAACTGGGACCCACTGGGACCCAGGGATTCACTCCTGGCCCGGGGCGCGGGTTCCTTCCATTCTGGGCCTGAGCAGATCCCAGGAGTCAGCTCTGCACTCAATCTCTCAGAACCCAGAGGAAGTGGGCCTCTCAGGAGCTCTAACCCAAGTAGTATCTTAGGCTAGGAGACAGCAATACTTGCACCCAAACAGGGAGCAACCAGGGCCCACTGGGACCCAGGAACTTACTCCTGGCCCGGAGCACGGGTTCCTTCCGGCCTGAGCCCAAGCACTCGGCAAATCCCAGGAATCAGATCTGCACCCAATCTCTCAGAACCCAGAGGAAGTGGGGCTCCCAGAAGCTCTAACACAAGCTAGAAAGCGGCAATACTTGCTCCAATCAGGGAGCAACCGGCAACCACTGGGACCCAGGAATCCACTCCTGACCTGGAGCCCGGGCCCCTTCTGGTTTCCACCTGAGCACGGAGCAGATCTTGGGCCTCAGCTCTAACCCCAGCAGCAAAACCGATCCCAAACAATTCTGACACAACCTAGATAATAGGAAAGACAGGCCCCAGTCAGAGACAGCACAGATAGCACAAAGGTGATCCAGATGGCAAAATGAAAGCTCAAGAACACAAGCACCAGCAACCCAAGGTACTTGCCATCATCAGAACCTAGTTCTCCCACATTAGAAAGTCCTGAACTCCCCATATCACCAGGAAAGCAAGAACCAGATCTAAAATCACTTCTAATGATGATGATAGAGAACTATAAGAAGGAAATAAATAACACTATCAAAAACCTTGAGGAGTACACAGGAAAACAGGATGAAGTCCTTAAAGAAACACAAAAATCCTTTAAAGAATTACAAGAAAACACAGACAAACAGATGAAGGAATTGAACAAAACCATCCAGGACATAAAAATGGAAGTAGAAACAATAAAGAAATCACAAAGGGAGGATACCCTGGAGATAGAAAACCTAAGAAAGAAATCAGGAGTCATAGACACAAGCATCACCAACAGAATACAAGAGATAGAAGAAAGAATCTCAGGTGCAGAAGATACCTTAGAAAATAATGACACAACTGTCAAAGAAAACACAAAATGCAAAAAGTTCTTAACACAAAACATCCAAGAAATCCAGGATGCAATGAGAAGACCAAACCTAAGGATAATAGGTATAGATGAGAGTAAAGATTCCCAAATTAAAGGGCCAGTAAATATCTTCAACAAAATTATTGAGGAAAACTTCCCTAACCTAAGGAATGAGATGCCCATAATCACACAAGAAGCCTACAGAATGCCAAACAGACTAGATCAAAAAAGAAATACCTCCCATCACATAATAATCAAGACACAAAATGCACAAAACAAAGAAAGAATTTTAAAAGCAGTAAAGGAAAAAGGCCAAGTAACATATAAAGGCAAACCTATCAGAATTACACCTGACTTCTCACCAGATACTATAAAAGCCAGAAGATCCTGGACAAATATTATACAGACCCTAAGAGAACATAATTGTCAGCCCAGGCTACTTTACCCAGCAAAACTCTCAATTACCATAGACGGAGAAACCAAGATATTCCATGACAAAACCGAATTTACACAGTATCTTCCCACAAATCCAGCACTACAAAGGATAATAGCAGGAAAGCTCCAATACAAGGAGGGCAATCATACCCTAGAAAGAGCAAGAAAATAATCCTTTTCCATCAAACCCAAAAGAAGATAACCACACAAACGATGTCTCCACTATTAGCAAAAATGACAGGAAGCAACAACACCCTCTCCTTAATATCTCTTAACATCAATGGACTCAATTCTCAAATAAAAAGGCATAGGCTAACGGACTGGATACGCAAACAGGACCCAACTTTTTGCTCCTTACAGGAAACCCACCTCAGCGACAAAGACAAACACTACCTTAGAGTAAAAGGTTGGAAAACAAATTTTCAAGCAAATGGCCCTAAGAAACAAGCGGGAGTAGCCATTCTAATATCGAATAAAATCGACTTTCAACTTAAAGCTATCAAAAAGGATAAGGAAGGGCATTTCATACTTGTCAAAGGAAAAGTCAACCAACATGAACTCTCAATTCTGAATATCTATGCGCCAAATACAAGAGCATCGACTTTCATAAAAGAAACCTTACTAAAGCTCAAAACACACATTGCACCTCACACAATAATAGTGGGAGACTTCAACACCCCACTCTCAGCAATGGATAGATCATGGAAACAGAAACTAAATAGAGATACAGTGAAACTAACAGAAGTTATTAACCAAATGGACTTAACAGATATCTATAGAACATTAAACCCTAAAGCAAAAGAATATACCTTTAGGGTCTTCATGACTCTCTGAGTGTGGAAGGAGCAACTGTT